AAGTTTTCAAAATAAAACATCTTTCGTATTCCGAAATAAATAAAACGGAATTAAGGCAAGTTCTTTCTGTGCGGCCCGGTACCAAATGCCCGGCGGACCGGTACCGGTCCGCGGACCGGCGGTTGGGGACCCCTGATTTATACCATCTACCACATGCACCGCGAAAGCCTATAGTGCAGACATTTGGCTTTATTAATTTAATATTCACTCTAATAGGATACAACCGTGCAACAAACCACATCGGTCAGGCGCACGCGCCCATAATTTGGCTGACATGAAAAGTGGGTGTGTTCAAAATAGACGCTGTCTTCGAATATTAAAATGTTTCCTTTTCAACCTGTTTCTTAACCAATGATTTGCTTTTTTGTGAGTGTTGTAGTAAAAATATTGGAAGAATGCAAGTTATGCTAGTTCATATGCGTGTGTTGAAATGTACCTTCTCCGCCCATGCCCACAGGCCTATGGCAAGGAATGCTGCTCCCAGTAACTGTAAAACAAAGAGCAAAGAAAGCAGGCCTCCATCAGACAGAACAACAACAATGGAACAGATACAGATTTAATAACCGGATATGAACAATTAGAAATCTGTCCACAGACATGCAAAACAATGCTGCAATGTCTACATGTGAGAATTCATCTCACTGCATATAGCTAAATCTGGAAAACTGGTTTTCCGAGGCTTCAAAAAGAACTAGCTGCTAGTTACTAGCATGTCCTGTGGACAGACTATCTTAGTCATTGCATTTTCAGGTTGAATTCATTGCTGCGGGCCACTTAAGAGGCTGAGGATGCGAAATCCAGAGGATTAGGGAAACATCTTTCCAGCATTAGCTTCCTGTCCCTGTGAGGGATGTAAGCAGGGGCTCAGAATTCGAGGGCGGGGGGGAGAAAGAACTGCAGAACTTTTTATTGGAACAAACTCAACAACACAAAAGCAAATTATATTTTCATTATGATTTTAATCTAATCATGTATCTCATTAGATTATAATTGACAGCAGTCCCTGCTAAAAAGTGGTGGCAATTGGTGCGAGTGAATCATTGTTTCAAATATAGTGGCACCTAACAACACAAAAGCAAATTATATTTTCATTATGATTTTAATCTAATCATGTATCTTATTAGTGTGTCAAGTTACGAGCCATCACTTTGTCCATTTTTTTGCAAACAAAAATGTAATGAACTTTCCGAAAACCATAATGTGAATGTGCCATATGCAGTTTAACAGAAGTTTACAGTAAACCTAAACAGAAAACAAAGTATGATTTAAAAAATCAATAAATAAATAAAACATGTAACTTTGTCTTAAGCCAGATTCATGTGGCATGATAATGAGCCCAGATTTTAGCCCCGATTCTCCCCTCCCGACAATCCTAAGGACGCTCCCGCTATTGTCATGTTGATTGATCAGACATTCCTAGCGTGTGGTATTTGCAACATGTTTTGCGTGACTGTTTCGCGTGGTGCCACCAACGGACAAACAAGATTGCAACCCGTTGACAGTGGCGCGTATTCATTCCATCCTCTGAAACTTAACGGCGACTTACAGCTAGTCTGCTAACAAACAAACAAGCAGGGTTGTACTTGGGTGGGTTGGCAGGAACCAGGGGCGTCACTAGGTTTCAAGAACAAGGGGGGCTTAGCCCCAAGGGGAACACAGCCCCTTTAGGGGGGTCCGGGGGCATGCCCCCCCGGGAGAATTTTTTTCTACATTCTGTTAAAAATCCATCAATTCCGTGCACTTTGAGAGCAAAATGAAGAGGCTATGAAGAACTACACACATCACATTAGTATCCTCTTTACTATGATGGGGCTTCCTCCCCTGGACTTTAACTGGACTAGATAATAGAAATTATAAAGAGTTCAAAAGTTCAATCTTGGTTGTTCAAGGGAATTAGAAGGATGCCCGATAACATAACCTATATGACAGTAGGCCTATATTACTCTCTACCAAAATGTATTAATATATGCTTAGCCCCCAGAAGACTATGTATTTTGAGATGTCTGCCGTGATATGCAATTTAAGTTAGTACAATGAGATGCAAAAGCTTCATCACTTTGGAAAAACACAAGTTTGCTGCTCAATACTTACTGTAAGCTCCGATTGCATTTTGGGAACAGCCTTGCAAGTAAAATTAGCCTTGAGATCTGATAGACTCCCCTGTCCAGCAGAGACCCCCCCCCCCCTCACTCTCTGTGCGTCTTTAGCCTGATTCCTATCAAATAAATAAATTGATTTTATATTTATTTTTTTATTTTATATAGGCCAAAATCTCAATAGGTGTTGCCTCAAAGAGTTGGTGTAATGATTATTTATGTATTTAATTATAAAATGTTGCTTAATTTTTATTAAGCACCACCTTAATTTATCCAAAAGTGAACACTTGTTACAGTGAGTGCAGTTTCTGCTGTTACTGGAGATATTTTAGCGGACTATAGTCACTAGTTTTACCAGCATGGATGCATTGAATACTTAATTTACCTTTCTAAAAAACTGTCGAATATCCATGCTGTCGACTCAACCTGACTTTCGGCAATGAACTGTCAGTTGTTGCGTTAGCATTTGATGTGGCGATGGTGACAGACACGTCAAATGCTAACGCAACACCTGTTGCGCTCAGGAAACCTGGGAGATTTAACATTACAATCATGGCAGGTTATCGAAATGTAATTTAAGATGGCCACATTACATTGAATTTGATGCAATATATTAGCAAAAGTACAGGAAAAATAAATAATACTTTTTTTAAATAATGCAATGAAATTATTTCGGGGGGCTAAAGACATTTTTAGGGAGGCTGAAGCCTCCCTAAAATAGGCCTAATGACGCCCATGGCAGGAACCATACATTTTCTATACTTCATTCATCTTCTTCATTAGTTGTCAGCAGAGATGCTGCTAAGCTTGACTTAATAATACTTGTTTCTCTATGTATGGCCTGTGACGGGGTGTACATGTTGTGTACATGTCGACACTCCTATGTAAACAATTTACATGTACTTTATACCCGTAGAATGCATCTGTTTCAAAAAACGTTTTTACCAATGAACACAATGTGGCTTAATTGAGTTTCATGCTGTCAATAATGTGTCAGCAAAAAAAAAAAAAAAAAATTCTGTTACAGTGGTTACATTTGGAGTCCACAAAGTCCAACCGACGTTTTACAAATTTAGTTAAACTTACGGTTCCGCTGGAACTACTTTGGAAAGTAGAACCAGAAGTTTTAAATTTTGAAATATAAAACGTTCAAGGAAACTGTTTTTATTCAGCAACAACCGAATAGTTTACTTGTCAAGTGTGGATTCGAATTTACATCCAATAATATCTATGGATACAGTTTTTCTTTTTATTATATTCTTGTTCATGAATCAGCAGGATTTGAAAGGTGTGAAGCTCAGCAGGAGGCATTTCGTATTTTGCAAAGCGAACAACTAATAAGTGGTGTGATCCTCAAATGTAAGGACAGCCATCATTTCCCGATGTCCAACATTCAGAGGTTAACTTTCTACATGGACAGTAATGGGGCATTACTACTGATTTTCTACTGATTTTTTAACTGTATATCTTTGTGTGAGGATAGTGATGCTGTTTAAGGGTAAAAATAATGTATTTAAATATAATCTGGTACTTGTTACATGTAAAAGAAAAAAAAAAACGTACCAACATGTAACAACCACGACATTAAACAATCTCCAATGAAAAACCAGATGAGTGAAAGATTTGTTTTATTTATGGCACACTACAGTAGTAGGAAGTTTTGATTAAAAGCATATCATTTTTAAGTTGTTTTGCACAAAAGTGACAACTGCACTTTCAGCTGTTGTTGATAAGGGAGATGCAACTGCATGAATCACGTTCTATGTAGGTGACGGAGCGCAATTGCTACTTGAGGTAAGAAGCTCTTTGTTGCGTGACTAAAGATCGTGATGAAATATAAATGAAGATTGAGACATTCGGGTCTTTTCTCAGTCACCGATGTTATAGTGACACAGTCTCCCAAATTTTGTGTTGGGTTCAGTTCTCACTCAGTGACGGTGTGAACGTGTGCGTAAACGATTCTCCCTCTGTATGTGCCCTGTGACTGAATGGCAACGAGGACAGGATGTCATCTTTGCCTTTTTTCTCATGTCAGCGGGGATCCGCTCTAACTTTCAATGACCCTGAAAAGCAAAGTGAAAAATGAACGGAGAGATAGTTGTAAAGTTGTACTTGGTACTTGATAGTCAGCTTTATTTTTTACAGTTATTATACAATACTGAACTATGTAGTGCATATTTAGTCAATGACATAGCCACACAATTGTACGTACACACATATATTTGATCACTTACTTTTTGACATTTTAGGGGAAGCTGAGCTTCCCTTGTAGTCTTAGAGCAATTGCCTCTGCATTGTATACATAGTTCAGTATTGTATAATAACTGTAAAAAATAAAGCTGACTATCAAGTACTAAGTACAACTTTGTCAAATGTGAAACATATAGCACATTTGAAATTTCGTCCCTCTCCCATTTTTTTGCTTTTTTTTTTTTTTTTAATAAATCCTACTTCACGGATTTCACTTATCACTGTTTCTTTTTGGAACGTAACCCCTGCGATAAACGAGGGATGACTGTTTAAGTGTGTACGTACAATTGTGTGGACATGTCATTGACTAAATATGCGCTACAATGCACTCAACTTTTGTTCCGAATCAGCTTCTTATTACTGGTTACGACGCGACTCTCTTCTCATTCATTCCCACAGCTTCACTGTGCTTTAAACTGTGTGGACGCTGAGCGTCAACCGCGCGGACGCTGGGCGTCTATAGAGAGTTCAGTTTAGTTTGTCCCAATGCAATGAAACGATACGAGTCATTGGATAAATGCTGGTTTTGTCCCGCCCATCGGACGCTCAGCGTCTCTGCGAGTCTATGGACAGTGGGCGTTTATAGGCTGGCCAGGAAGCTCAGCTTTTCTGCATGATGATTGGATGATTTGTCTGAGGCTGAATCTCTTTTTGATTGACAGCGAAATGAGCCAATCACCAATCTTATGGTGAAGACAACCTTCTCATGTTTTTGAAAAGGAACAGAGAGTACAGTTCACGTATAAATAAACGAACACATTTTATGATGTAGGCCGAAATTGAGCTTCCCCTCCTTGACAGACCAGCATCCGCCACTGATACAATGAAACCAAAGACCAAAAATTTGCAAAGGTAAATTTGGCAAGCTGTACAGAGACGAGGTGCGGAGACTGTTCACGTCGGTCAGTGCCTTAGCCAATCAGGATGCAGAACGCAATTCACAAAGCATTAAAAAAACTGCACTAAAAAAATCCATGAAACAGCAAAGCCGTGGAAAGTGAACCGCGTTAGAGCGAGGATCACTGTACAACTTCAAACAGTACAACTCATCATTTCAAACCACACAAATATGTGAAATTGCAACAGGCTGGCCTACTATTCCTTCTCCGCCGCATCCAGAGGAACCAGATGAGTTTGCGCAGGCATCTGTTTAGGATGCCTCCTGGACACGGAGCTCCCCTGGTGAGGCGTTCCGGGTATTTCCCACTGGGACATGACCCCAGGACATGCTGGAGAAACAATTTCTTCAGCTAGCTTGAGAACGTCTCGCCCTTGCAATAAGCTACAACGTGGCCGCTTACAAGAGAAGAGGTACTGAGAGTTAATTTGAAGTGTGGTATTGAAATTGGTGTGTTTGGAAAGTTGTCAATCCAAGTAACGCTGTTCTGACCACTCAACATGAATAGTTGAGTCTGTTTTTCAATCATCTCTCATGGTTATTTATTAAACTGTCGTGTTATGCATCTACAGGCCATTTCAAAATGGCTCTAACTTTCAGTCACAAGTGCCAATATTTTTGGGTTCAAACAAAGTTGAGCTTTGGTTCTCAAGGTAGACAGCTGAAAATAAAAGCTGAATTGTTCATCTTTTGTCTCCTATTCACATGTTCATGTCTTTCGCAAAATAAACAAAATGGGCCCCAATACTTTTGCGAGGGAATGTATCGCTACTGAAGCAAACTTTTGCTCGAACGATTCCTTTTAAATAAAATGACTAAAACAGTGGTTCTTAACCTTGTTCGAGGTACCGAACTCAACCAGTTAATATGCACATTCACTCCCAAAGACATATTTATGTCTTTTCACACTCCACACGTTCAACCCCAAATACTTATTTTTTTCCTCAATTTTTCCAAGACTTGGGGTTAAAAAAAAAAAGGGGGGGGGTCTAGAATTGGGTGGTACTGAATGAGTTAATATGCACATTCACCAAACCCTTCATTAGTGAAAAATAAAAATGGGATTTTTAAAAATTCCAGACATAAAAACTGAAAAAAGTAAATTATTTTCTTGGATTCCCCATCTCCATCCAGTTTCAAGAAGTGTTCCCTCAGTTTTGCCGGTGTGAGACTAGAGTTGCTCGACTTGGCATGAAAAATCATGCAGATGGGACGCTGAGTCCCATCACCTTCCGTGATGCATGTGAATCCATGTTGTACATATTCATCTCACCACTTTATTTTGCTCGACATAGCATGTATCAAAACATTTTTTTTTTTAAATCACGTGACGTACTATCATGACAGTCACATGTTGATTACTGGGCGAACTAAATTTCCTGCAGCACTGATTGGTCAAGCAATGTAATTTGATCATCTGCTGCCAGTGATGGCCAAGCAGGCGTTCATAACTAATTGGCATGTTGAGTCGGGTGTGTCTCACCCTCCATGGCAGACGCTTCATCGAACCCCTGAGATATGTCAAACATCAATGAAAGAAAACCCAAAAATGAATGATCAATGTACATTTACGTAGACAGCGTCCCAAACATGCTGTCCTTCACACCGTATTAAGAGGGGCAGTGTCAGTTGTGGGTGCTATTTCTGCATTTAACTCAATACACAAGATGCAGTGTATTATTGGACCCAGGCATGGTAAAACGTACGCTAGCTTAAACAATGCGGTAGCGTACATGCTATTTTTAAAAATGCAGCGGGAGCACAACTGCGTTCGATTGTACTTTATTGAAGTATTTAAAAATGTACTCACGTTATTGTTTTTTATCAATCCTCATCCTCAAATCCATCAAAGTCCTAATCTTCTGTATCCGAAATGAACAGCTGGGCAAGTTCACAATCAAACACACCAGGTTGCCTTGCTGCATTGTCAGAGTCACTCTCGTTGCCGTGCGGCTCCTCAGAAATGATGCCAGAACAACATTGCAAGCAGACACGCAAACCCAAGTATCCACAATCCATTCACAAATCGTGGCGTAACTCGCCCAGCGCTGCCTCCCAGTCTTCGCCATCGCTCCCACGGTGTTCGCAACTATACTTTGGCCGTTTTTGTCCATTACCCTGGCAACTAAGCACAACAGTAAACCCAGATTACATGCACCCCATTGTGCATATCTCTACCATGCTGATCCCCTTCTTCTCTACAGTGTGGTTTACTGAGATGTTGAAAGCGAGCAGCACTTTGTCCATGTTGGTGATGTGGTTGGGCTGGATGTGTTTGTTGGCATTCTTTTTGTGGTATTTCAAAATGCAAAGCACCCCTGTCCCTCATCACATGCTGTAGCCCAAGCGGGTATGTAGGAATGTGTGGATGTGGGGATTGGTTGAGAGAACAGTCGGTAATGGAAGCCAAGTGAGGCCGGAAGAACAGTAAAGGTTTAAAATCTCCAAGAAAGCGTCTTTATTTAATGTAAAGCAGAACATTACACTTTGTGCCTTTCGCATCCTTTTTCACGCCCACCCTTGCCACCTTAACGTCCGCATGCTGCCCTCAGTTACGTCCACCTTACCTCTATATAAGCAACGTGTCGGCACAACGTCAGTCATCGAAGTCACACAACAGCATTCACAGATATTGGAACTCGGTGCATACATTATTCGGTGCCCTATCCATTTTGGAGAAAATTTAAGACTTTTATGTTTGTCTTATGGTTGTGAAAATACAGTAGCTGGATCATCACACATAGATTAAATAGATGTATCGTTACACCCCTACATCCCTACTTTCTGATGCCGACTGACATAAAATTCAAACAATGCTCTCTTTCTCTAATACGGATGTTAAAAGATGAGTTGTGATGAAAGATTACAATGAATGGCCACTAACTCCATTCACATGTGACTCAGTAAGAATTTTCGTGCCAAATAGGCACGTGCACTGAGGGTTGATGCTGGCTAATAAACACAGAGCCTCCATCCAAGCGACTCAGCAACCTGGTTAGAGCTTAACACGCTCTTAATTACAGAATGCAGAGCTTCCAAACATTTCAGCAGCTCAAGCAGAAAATGTGATTAATTATGTGGATGTGAGAAATGTGTCTATTCTGAGGAACGACAGAATGTGTTTTGTTCCCAGGCGAGAGAATGTCTGGCTGTCAACACCGAGCATGCCTGGGCATTGCAAGAATTCGAGTCGAAAAGATTTTATTGCCCACGATATTTTGACTCTTGGGCATTTTAGTCTTATTTTAGGCAGCCTTGTCAAGGCTGACAAGAGAACAGCAGGAAAGACAAATGGGTTGATTTCAAGAGAATAAACCCCATTGTTGCCTATTCAACAATGCCGTGGCTTGTCTGACAAGACCAGTTTCACAGCTCATGCAAGAAGAAAACATCTTGTGGCGATTACTAACAGGAGAAAAAAAAAAAAAAACAATGAGCTGGGACTTGTTTAAGTAAGAGTGCACATACAGGACTTTTAGGTTGGCCAAAGTGCCAAACAAGACGAAAACCAGCCTCAACACATTAGCCTGGCGACTGAATGCTTCCTGCTTAAATACTGAGTTCTATTGAATTAAGATTCATATAAGTGGTAACATGAATCTCACGTCATCTCCGATTTGTACCATATACCCGCATTACCATCCCCAAATTTGGAGGACACTTGGAGGTGGTGATGAAATGATGGGAATAAGGAGGACATTTGCATATGTGGCTGCTGAGCCAGACACTGGCGGAATATATGAGCCAAGACAGCCAACCAGTGCTCCCCCTAGTCATTGTTCTCATCATCACTCTTTGTGCATTTATGGGTGTGGAAGTGAGAGAAACAATGCTGTCCCAGAGGCCAGCCTCTAGAGTGCTTGAGTCAGTGAAAGGGGCATGAGAAAGAAAGAGAGCCTGGCCATCTCCAACCCCACGGATCAAACCCAGACATTATACTTACTACTACACTAATCGCACTGGGGCCCATGCAGACGGCTGAAGAGAGAAACTTTGCTGCTAAGTGGCAGTAGTTGTAAAGATGACGTGGACAGATGCTTGCACAATGCAATTGAAACTTGCGCCATGCCGAAAAACAACAGTGACAATAATTGAGTGGCATCTCTGCTCGCTGCTTAAAAACTCATATTTTCTCTTTTCTTTTTTTCAGCAAAGACAGAAAGAGGCAAAAGGACGGGAAGAAAATTAAAAAACGAAACATATTCAAAAAATAATAAGTGTTTTGCTTTGTACATAATCATTGTGAATAACTACGATATGACGTACTCTCGAGCAGGTGAACAAGCTACTATTAAGTTAATCATAGTAACAACAACAACAAACATTTCCCATTTAATTCAAATAACGTATATTCATGTAGCAGTCCAGTGAGTGATGGTGGGCATTCAAGAGCATTTTGTCACAACTACATCGCAAACGTTAAGCTAATTTCGCTCATTTCGAACCACAAAGCGACTAAAAATGTTGCAATAAACGTGTCACTACATGTTTATATACAGCATAAATGTTTAAAGGTCGCATTTACTTACCCAGAATAGAATATTGAATCCAAATAGAAAGTATTTGACGCAGCAGCTGACTTCTGCTTCTTTATATTTGTATTTTCTGTTCATTCTTCCAAAGATAGGTGCTAACGAGCGAGCTAATGAACTACTACGGTCGCTGTGGAATAAACTAGACCAAAACCGCAGTTGTTAAACATCTGAAGTGAGGGTTAACTCGCTCCATAAGAGAACAAAAATAGGTTTTATACTACCCCGGCCAGACTCAGAAGTTACGAACATAACTAGGTTTTCTCGTTTGGACCGTTAGCATGCTAGGCTAGCTAGCACACAACTTTCCCCATTAGCATTACATCCTCAAAAAAACAACAACAACAAATACGAGTCGTGTAGTCTTATACGCATTTCGCCAAAACTCAATTTACAAGCGTTAACTCTCGTAAGGGAATGACAAAGAGCCGTGTTCAAATAGTTGCCCCTTCGCGATGGGACAACACCCACACGTCATCATCTGTCGTCGAAGCTGGAATGACAGACGGAAACAGACACAAGGGTGAGACAGGTAGTTTCACCTTTGGTAAAACAAAGACCTTAAAATTGTTGTTTTGTGCTCCTCCTTTAATTATGTTATTTCTAAAATCCCCCTGGCACGATTTTTTTTTGATCGTCAAAGGTATGTGTTCATGACTTTACGGCCACCTGTTTAGTTGTCATGCAAATTAAGTTATCCCCCAAGAAGTGGATGTTTACAACTTGCGTACATCCATTCTCAATAGCACTTGTACTCAAACAAATGGGAAAGTAACGAATCACATTCTCACATTCGGACAATGTTTAATCTTAAATTGAACTAACATGAATTTCTTATTTTGAAAGTGTTCTTTTTTTCTGCAATGAACACATAACGCACAAGATCAGTGTTTCTCAAATGTTGTCACCCTGGGACCTGGAATTTCTTTTTGTTGCATAGACATTACACGCAATAACTAACATGTTTTGTTTAAAAAGTAGTATGTGACAAACACATGTATAGCATTTTGTAACTCGCTCCATAAGAGAACAAAAATAGGTTTTATACTACCCCGGCCAGACTCAGAAGTTACGAACATAACTAGGTTTTCTCGTTTGGACCGTTAGCATGCTAGGCTAGCTAGCACACAACTTTCCCCATTAGCATTACATCCTCAAAAAAACAACAACAACAAATACGAGTCGTGTAGTCTTATACGCATTTCGCCAAAACTCAATTTACAAGCGTTAACTCTCGTAAGGGAATGACAAAGAGCCGTGTTCAAATAGTTGCCCCTTCGCGATGGGACAACACCCATACGTCATCATCTGTCGTCGAAGCTGGAATGACAGACGGAAACAGACACAAGGGTGAGACAGGTAGTTTCACCCTTTGGTAAAACAAAGACCTTAAAATTGTTGTTTTGTGCTCCTCCTTTAATTATGTTATTTCTAAAATCCCCCTGGCACGATTTTTTTTTGATCGTCAAAGGTATGTGTTCATGACTTTACGGCCACCTGTTTAGTTGTCATGCAAATTAAGTTATCCCCCAAGAAGTGGATGTTTACAACTTGCGTACATCCATTCTCAATAGCACTTGTACTCAAACAAATGGGAAAGTAACGAATCACATTCTCACATTCGGACAATGTTTAATCTTAAATTGAACTAACATGAATTTCTTATTTTGAAAGTGTTCTTTTTTTCTGCAATGAACACATAACGCACAAGATCAGTGTTTCTCAAATGTTGTCACCCTGGGACCTGGAATTTCTTTTTGTTGCATAGACATTACACGCAATAACTAACATGTTTTGTTTAAAAAGTAGTATGTGACAAACACATGTATAGCATTTTGTACCTTAAAATGGGGATGTTCGATACCACTTTTTTTCAGACGATATCAGTACGAGTATTCACAATTTGAGTACTCACTGATACCAATTAACGTTGTCCTATTTTTTGTATAGCAAATTTCATTTAAAGGGACAGTGTGTAGAAATTTAGAATTTGTCAATGTTCAGTCATGAAAAGAACAACACTTCATTTCAATAACATGGGGAACAAATATGTTCCATCACATTAATGTACATTTTATACAGTCATAGGATCAGTGGTGTTAGAAAGCTGTTCCCATCTGTTGCCTGAAAACGGGTTAATTCGGACCCGAACAGGGTCAGTGTGAAGAAATGTAGAATTTGTCAATGTTCAATCATGAAAAGAACAACACTTAATTTCAGTAATATGGAAACAAATATGTTCCATCACGTCCATTTTTTTATGTTGTCATAGGAAAAGCCGAAAGGAAAAGAAGAAGAAGGATAATTGATCGCTAATAATACGACATGAGCCATGCCTTATTTTACAGGAGGCTGGCATGTTTACCGCCATCTTTATGCGATGGATACGCTTTTTTTTAAACTAGCTGTCCTCGACTCACTTTGGACTCCCGACCCACCAGCTGAGAATCACTGTACTAGATTCTCTGTATAAATGTGTACTTTTCTGCACACATCTCAAGCGTATTGTATCTGTTTTCTGGAATTGTATGTACAGTATATTTTAAGGTAATCTAGACAATGGTAATGTTCCACTTTCTTGATCCTATAGTTAAATATATTGATACTTTTCACATGTAGTACCCCTAACTAAAAATGCATTTATTACAAAACACAGTAGATTTCGTCAGAAAACATTTATAAACCAAACACAATACAATTTAAAAATTTTCACTGCAGTATGCATGTGTCATTATGTGAGGCGCCATCTCTTCAGTGTGGCTTGATTAAGATGGTGAGGCAGTCTTCTCCCAACCCGAAGGGTGACCACGTCGATGCATCCCGATGCTAAACCCCCAGTTGCTCCCGTTTCTGTGTTTTACTACCAAACAAATAAATAAATCATTTGTATTGTTATTTTGGGGGCTCGAGTGGTTCTAACGTTTTATATGTTTTAGTTATGGTAATTTTTTTTCAGGTGTACTGTAAGGTTTTACACTGTGTGCACATTCATCATAATGCTCCAAAATTCAAAGGATGGTGCCTCACATCTTCACTTTGGAGATGACAAATGACCCAAAACATACTGTGAAAAAAAAGCTCAAGACCTTTGAAGGCAAAGAATATTTTACAATGGCCAAGTGAGCAGTGACTTTTTCTCAGGCTAAACTTTTCACCCACTGAAGGCAAAAAGGAAGGGCGCAAGACACACAAACAAGTGAAGGTGTCTGCAGTAAAGACTTGGCCAAGCATCCCCGGGAGGAAACTAAGAATTTGAATATACTGCAGTTCCACTGGCTGTTACTCCAGTGTGTGTACACTATTCCAAGCAGTCAGTCATACCAGTGAACCCGCTTTCGCCCTTTTGACCTCAATAGCGGCCTCTTGTGTCTCAAATGATGAATTCCTGTTTCTTCCCTTTTTTCATGAACACGGAACAGGCGAGGCAACTGCGAGATTTCATGGTTCCTGGTGTGATGTCAAGCTTGGGTGCGATATAAATTGCACAAGTTCGTCTCACTGAATTGCATGACGGACGTATGAGTCAGTACTACGGAGAGGTGCTTGCGTATTTTTCCTGTATGTAGGGATTAAGGGAGGTCGATGTTGATCAAAATCTGAATAATCAATGACGATTAAGGAACTAATGTCAATACTGTATGTCTGTGTAATGCGGTGCAGCTTGACATCACTGCAAACTATTACCACAATACAGTAATACTCATCATTATAATATTCGCAGATAACCCATTCTGACCATATTTTGACTATGTAGGATCCTACTATATTCTACAAGTGTACTTTCACACGACCCGAGGTGGTACTTGAACTTGAGGAACTTTTATGTATGGATGTGTTTGGTCATTTGAACTTCTGTCTAAAGTCCTACAGATGGCAGTCTCGGAACCTGAGATGAATTGTTGATTTGGACCTTGGACGCTCACATTTTGGCAATTCGGTCCTTTCACAAAGTATGTAAACAACTTTCAAATTAAAATGGATGCCAGTGGGTGTGAGGTCAATTTGTAGGTAGCCGAATGCTCATTATATTCCTATTTGGCTAACTGATAGTGGCAAATTGCAGGTTTTCATCTGTGTCCGATTATTCCAACCTGATTCATTAGATCATTGTTAAGGGGCCATCAGTGTCCTTCAGAGCTTGTAATGGCCAGATTAAATTGAATTCTGTCTGCAGTGAGGCACGCTCACAAAACTTTGTAATGAATGTCTTAAAGGTAGAACTCATGAGAATACATTTACATACCATGAGTTTTTGAATCTGTTGGGTTGTATTTTTAATTACAATCTCGACTGGGATTTTCCCCACAATTTGATTAGCAAATGATCTTGTGCCGAGAAATAATGTTACAAGGCTTTGCTTGTGTGTAACCACTTTATTTATTGATTTGCAGACATGCAAGTATGGAATGTTAGTTGTGTAAAAATGCAGTTGCATAATCACAGAGCCCTCAAAAAGAAATGCTTGCAAAAGTTCAAATGAAGGGTGTCAGCAGTGCTTGGCCTGCCCAGAGTCCCGCTTCAACCAATCCATTGACAGTGACAGGTTTAATCCTTCTGAAGGTCAACACCAAGCAGGTGTCCGTGCCTCAAAAAAACTGAAGTCGGTGATGTGCTGTGTTTGCTGACACATGGTGGAAACGATGTAGGGCTCACATCTTTCATCTATAACTGCTTCAGACAACAAAGTGTATGCAGAAAAGTGGTGAAGATTGCACGACTGTCTTGTGTCCAATGTGTTGTGTTGTGTTATTTTTGTTATTTTGACTTCAAAATGGCGCCGAGAGAGTGGCTGCCTTTCCAGCAGGTCCTATATTTTGTTGTTCTACTTCTTCCTTTCATAACTTTGCTGCTGTGAATTGGGAATTTCTCCATTGCGAGACTAATAAAGGTTTTCTTATCTTATCTTTTCTTATCTTATCTTACATTGAGGATCCATGCTCAAAGCGGAAGGTGATAATTTGAAAGCCACAATCACTTCCATCCATTTTGGCAGCTAGCTGGGTTGTACAAAATGTTATATTGAGACAGTACAAACTATCAGTGTGTCTATTAGGAATGGGCATTATAATCATTTGCTCTTGATTGATCTTAAGTACTGTGTGTATAATTGATTGTTGGTGAATCTGTACTGAAACATTTGAGGCAAAATGGAATGCACTTTGTAGTGGCATCCAACTGAGGCGCTGCTGAGGGAATCAGTGTTACATTAAGTTGAGCTTCATATATAGAAATATCTACTATGACGAGTCCTCCAGGTCGCATTAATCTGCTCAGTATGACAATGGCACAGAAACAGGGGCTCCAGAACATTCAGAGAGGTTCTCTCACCTCATTAAAAACAGTAACAAAATTACAATGAATCAATTGATAGTTAATATTCCAATAATTGAACAAGGACGTTTGGTCAAAAGCCCATCCATTCTAAAGTTACACATCCTTTAATTTGCAACAGCATTTAAAAGCTTGGGGAATCATATAAAACATTTGAGTAAATGGGTGGAGCAATGCCACATCACATACCCCCTTCCTCCCTTTTCTGACTCTGTAAAGTTTACATTCACTTCAACAAATGCAATATAAAGCAGCATATATACACTATGTTACACTGAGTACATATTGCACAATGTATTGCAATTTGCCATGAATTATAAGACACATACTGCAGCCATGTGTGATTAAGGATTACCATTGAGTTGCATATTATTGTGAGCATTATTAATCAATGTGGTCATCAATAAAGTAGGAATGTTTTAAAAGTATGTGTTTTGAACAGTAAACAGTGATTATAACATTGAAAAAGTAAAATCCATCATTGCTAATGAGCTCGGGAAGCTAAGGAATGCTTGTTGTAAGACTGTAAAGTATAACACTTATTCAAACTGAAGTTAAAGAAAAAAATCTTTGGTTAAATTTGCCCTTTCAGTATGACGGAAGCGTACAAGCTACCACAATTGTTTATGTAAAAAGCTTGTTCTTGTCATTCATTCGAAAGCCATAAGTCACATCAAATATTAATTGCGTTGTGAATGAAGAATTTTGATGATTCAAGATCTCTGTTTACAATGCCAATGAAACCCCCAAGTGTTGAAACCTCACAGGTCAGTGGAGATGGTGCTTTTCTTCACCCTCAGACTGCCGCTCCAACCACGGGGACAGGTGTTGTAAGAGTGCATGCCAGGTGACCGCAGACCCGAGTCCTCGGACTCTATGGATGCATCCGAGTCGGTCAGAGAGCGTGTGTTGTAGAGCCTCGCAGGAGAGCAGATCCGCTGTGTTGGGGTTGGAGGAGGGCTGGCGAAGGTAGGCGACTGACCCCCCAGTGGTCGTGATTGGACTGTTTTACTGTCATAACCATGGAGGGCATAGCCCACAGGTGAGATAGCTAAACTGTGACCGCTCAATGCACCTGGCGAGGGGCTGTTTTTACGTTTGGCTGCATTGATTATGTTCTTTGCCAGCATTCGATGGTTGGCCTTTGAGTCTAAATTATTACTGATTGGGGACATGCAGCGACTGTCCTTGGGTAGGGAAACAGGAGAAGAGGTAGAGGATACGGACAGGCGGTGCGCAGAAGGGAAAGACAAACTTGTATGAGAAAGTGCAGGAGACTGGGAACGTGAGCGCCAAGGGGGCAAGACAGGAGGCGTGGTTGTTGATGTTTTGGAAAGTGTGGAAGTTGAAATAGCGGACGGATGGATAGTCTGGATTACCATTGGTGATTGACACCTTGGACTCCAAGGAGGAGAACGGTGAGGTGCAGTTGTAGATGTTTGAAAAGGTCTGGAAGAAGAAAGTGAGGAGAGGGTGGAATTCTCGGCACTCACGCTCAGCATAGGAGACTGGCATCTTGATCCCCAAGGTGGAGAGAGTGGTGAGGTGTTTGCGGATGTTTTAGATAAAGTGTGTAAAGCATTTGGTGATTGCGCATGGACTACCGGGGACTGGCATCTTGAACCCCATGGTTGCGAGCGAGAGGAATTGGACGTTTGGAATCTGAAATCATGACCAGAGGAATTGGCGGATGACTGGATGTTCTGGGAGACCATTGGGGAGTGGCATCTTGAACCCCAAGGCGGTGAGCATGGAGATGTGGATGTCGAGGTCTGTGGTGGCTCGGTCACGGAAGGTGATGATACTGTCGAAAGCCGAATCCCTTGATTGCTCATTGGAGATTGGCATCTTGCAACCCTTGAAAACGGAATAGGTGATGTGACTGATCGGCTGGAGACGGTCGCGGAGGGACTCTTAGCTTGAAGACCGGACATCCACGTTGTACTGGCGAGACAGTCGGGGCTGCTGTACTTCCTTGTAGGGCCCAGCCGAGTCTCATTGGGTGGTTCGGTTGGGGAGGGTTCCTTTGGTTTCTGTTGGACCACAACAAATATAGCTTTTTAGTGTGTAATCCTTCATAGAATGCAATAGCTAGCCAACTTGGCAGTCACACATACACAACCTGATTCATTGTTTTGTTCATTACCAGCTCAGGAAAGAGATACATGGGAAATAGCACATGCGTTTTTAAATAGAGGGATTCTCTACAGGCTAAATCATATTTATTATAATCACAGTGGCATTAAGGTCATAGCCATGAATTTTAATCCTCAGCATGTGTTCGTGCACTATGCCTGGCCGATAGCCCATGTCGACCTAGTTTTATGTGTTGTTCTCAGGTTACTCTGAATACGAATGGCCTTTGCAGGCAGGGATTTGAGGATACTTGGCTGAACAACATGTAATCACCTCCATTGAACACGTTGATAAATACGCTCTCACCATCTCAATGTAATAATAATTTGAAGACGACTTCAGCTGCTGATGAAAAGGGAAGGAGTATTTGGGAAAAAAAAAACAAAAGTTTTATTTCTTTAAATGTCTGAGCCCTTCATGACCAGTACGACCATACGTGATTTGGATTCCCAATGTGTAAATAACAGATACTGAAGTGACGGGCAAAACATAATTTAACACCTCATGTTATGAAATATGCTTGTGGTGACAATTATATGTAAGATTATCAGGGTCTTATTATTTTATTTAGTATGATCAAGTGTTTGCAGTGAGCAGTTAGCAAGAATACCAGGAAACTTGCCCACACATTAAAAGTGAAAGTAAAATATGAAAATAGAAAAAGGAGGAGAAGGTCACAGATGAGTAAAGAGTATGAAGCTTTAATCAAAGGAAGAAAAGATTTAGCTCAAATACAATTGGAACAGAACGTGAATGAAGTTTTATGAAGCGAAACAGGCATGCATACTCTGCGGAAAGAATTGCCAATGACTGATTATTTCCTTTGAACAAACAATTCTGGAATTGCTGCTTGAAGTCATGAAAATAATGTAGATGCAGGTCCTGGAAGCAAAATCGTGTGGTGTCTGCAGATGGCAAACATCAAAGAATCCAAGTATGCAGCAAAATTTTGAGTAAAAAAAAAAAAATGGTGTTGAGCAGAGCAAATTACCCTTAAGATATAAAGACATAAAAGGAATTCTATGGCTGCATTTTCACTTCAGTGAGAAGCATTAAATTGCAAATTGCAGCTCATAAAGCAGATGCCACACCTGTCAAAGTGCTTTGTAACAGCATCACCCGGCTCCTCAAATACACAGTGGGGAAGAGGCAAAGCAAAGTTATTATATTCCGATACCCAAGAAGGAGGCATTTTGGTGCCAAAGTGTCTTGCAGCATTGGGCACAATGATTAAGTTAGCACACATTTTTACTCAGGTTGATGCCTTTGGTGTTGTCTGACGAAATCAGCGACTTCAATTCAAATTGACATTTTAATTTTCTCTTGTAAAGAACAACAGATGTATTGTGTGGCTTTATGGATATCATGTAAATCATTCACATCAATAATTTCTATTCAAGAGGGAGCTTTTGGAAAGCAGAGGAGGATGAAGACACACAGGAAGATGCAGGAAAAAGAAAAATAGTTCAGTTATTATGCCAAATAAAGTTTGGCAATCACCAGGTTACCACATAAAAGTTCTTAAAAGATAAAAGGCCTCCACACCTGTGCTTCAAGCCCGGCTTTCTTGGCAGAAAATCTTGGCTTTGGTGCTTGGATCCCCAGCCGAGGAGATGACACACGGGTTGGAGAAAAAGCAGTTGATGGCTTCCCACAGGCTGAATTTGATGGATAGTCTACTCTTGTGATGGAGTTGACGGGAAACTGAGGAGATTGAGACTGGGTGGAAAAGAGAGAAGCAGGGTTGTTCGGTAAGGAAGCCTGTCTAGATAAAGATGGAGGGAGGAACTCGTTTTTGGACTGCGGTGCTCCTTTCGGTAGGGTACTCAACGGATCCTTGACTGGCTTAAGGATGAAGAGGGATGAGTTAAGTTGGTAGGGTTTGTGTCTTGAGAGGTCCATCTCGATCTTGGAGCAACCATTCTCAAGAGCAGGGGTCTCTTGAACTTGTGTTGCTGGTGCCGTTTGTCTTGGTTTCGGCTTGGCAGTTTGTTGGGCTTTCATGTTGAGTGCAAGTTGAGCGCACATGTCAGAGTTTTTAGCAATAGCTTTTACCCTACCCGGCATATTTGATGGGTAAACCCACGATGGCGGCAAAGACATTGTTGGAGAAGGAGGTCTAATATGTTGACCTGCATTCTGGTTCTCAACGATGAATTTCTCCATTCTGGACTTGCGCTTGGCAAAAAGATCTGCACCTTTTCCCGATGCATCACTGAGGGTCTGTTCTGGTTTATGTTCGACCCTTGTATAGGTTCTGGAGCTCTTCAGACAGGAGGTCCACTCTGGGGCTTTGGCTTCTTCAGCCGTTTCTTCCTCTTTGGCAAGGAAGTTGGATGCTTCCGCACCCAGTGCTAGTAACTCCTCCTCAGATGCGGACTGAGGCACAGATCTTTGCCTGTGGTTCTTCTTTTCATCCACCCCTTGCACTAGAGAAAGCAACTCAGGGTTCGGAGCGACAACCTTCTTCTCTTTGAACGTGAACATCGACTTTTTAGTGGGTCGTTTGGCAGCACTATCCTCAAGTAATCCTGTTTTTATTGGTGGCGCAGACTTCCTTTCTGGAAAAGGTTGACGAACGAAAGCGGAAGGTTTTGGAGCTGTTGGGGGCCCATAATGGGGAAGTGGTGAAGCAGCATTCTGAGATACAGTAAAGGCAGGCGTTGGTGGAGGGTTAGTGGGAGTCGTCACAGGTGGACTGAAGTAATCCGTCTTTGGAGGCTTGTTTGTGAAGGCAGGTAGGGGAGGTGTGGGATATGCTGGAGGGGGCGGAGGGGGCGGAGGTGAAACTGCGACTGGCTGGGGAGCAGTGAATGCAAAACGAGTCGGGAGGTTGTCCATGACAGGACTACCTTCCTCTTGAGACTGCACCGTCAGCGGTGAGAAAAACGGCCTGGCAGTTCGATTGGTGATGGTTGTGGTCTGCTTCGATACAAACACACCTGTAATCGGCGGTCCATGGCAGCCATTAGAAAGCTTTTCAAGAGGAGGTGATGAGATGTGGCCTCCATTTATCGCCGCCTCTTTCTCCAGAAGATTCATTGCAATTGGATTCGTATTTTCTCTTTCAGGTGGAAGCTCATCCTTGACTTTGCCTTCAAGTTCTTTGTAGACTGCATCCTTTTGCTCCTCCTCCTGCTCATCTATTTCTTTCACAGGGAGGAAATGTCTTTCTTGGATAGTACTGAGCTCAGCTACATCTTCTTTAACATAACAGTCGCCTTGTTCCTCCATGCTATCGCCTGTTGCCTGTGTACTCCCAATAGGCACGAATAGTGGGTTGGTAGTGCAATTCTTATAGTTCAAGTCTTTGTCCTTCTCCTCACGACTTCTCTCTGCCCATGTTAGTTTGCCACATGACGGGTTGGGTTTCACATTCCCGGTTACGTACTCCTTCGAGCGCACTCCACTGCTTTCCAGTGTGAAGGCGCTGACTCTCTGCTTGCGCCGGTTGAAGAGTTGCACGCCTCTGGAGCTGGAGCTGGAAGGGACAGTGAGCTGCGCAGCAATGATGTGACTTCTCTGTCGGGCCTCCTTTAGCTCCTTCTCAGATAAGCTGACGCTCCTGGTTAGATCTAGCAGGGGAAAGAAAGAGTAAAGGGGCACTTTGGTTAGTAATAGAAATATACAGGTCATCTTCATTCGATATTTTTGATTCGTGGTAAAGGTGGCCCAACTTGCTCTGTTTGGAGGAAAGGGTTGTGTTCCTTATCTCAAATCGAAACAAAGACAACTCCCTAACCACCTAATCATCGGTAGACAGCTTGGGAAAACTATAAGAAAGAACGGCATTATCGTTTGATTTAAAAACAAACCACAAGTTTCACTTTATTGACCAGAATTTAAAGGCCAGTGGTGTCCATTTGCTTTGTGACGCTTAAAAATTATAGTATTCAACATGCCTCTGCTTAAAATTATGGTTTGTTTTCTGAGCTTAAGAGTTCCATTCCAAGCAGCAAAGTTATTTCCTCTGCAATCTGGTCAAGTCCCTCCCTGAGCATTCTTCCACTATGGAGAAAACCCCCTGCTTAAACTTCCAGCATGCCTGCGTTCCTACTGCAACACTCACACACTCATTTTCACCATAAGCAGCTTCAAAAACCTCTGTTAAGCTCTGTAGTATGGGCACTATACATTAAAGTAATTTCATTTTAAAATAAAAGCATAAAAATAGCTTCCAAGTATATGAGAATATCAGTTGCAATTTTTTAAGGACACCCCACCCCACTCCCCACACCAAATGGTATAATGTGTGGAATAATGTGCATTCAAAGGATAATGACTGTTTCTGGGCACAGGTTTGACATTATTCATGTAATTCTGACTGGTGGAAGTCATGTCATGCCCCTGCAGGAGGTTCCCATGACAACTGGAGCAACCATGACTCATTCTTTGTTCCGTACATTGATTTATTCAGACAGCCACATTATTTAAAGTAATTATGTGTGGTTGATGATAATTACAGATTGGTAGTACACATGTCACTTATGGCTTTCATGCTCACCGACTAAAAGTAAATGTACTATATACATCTGTAATTGATTCTCCAGTTGAGCGCTCTTGGGTGATGAGGAATATAAAGTCTCACATCCTTTTTTGTTTGAATTTGAAATTGTATGGTTATTTATAGGCTTTACTGAAGTTTGAACTCAAGTCCCAGGACCTCTTTTTAAGGCAGTCTGTTGGTCCAGTTCCCCAAAATGACTTTTATTAGCTACTGACTTTGAATATTTTCGGCCTGTGGAATATATCAGAGCAGTGAAGCTTGAAATGAAATGTCCTCACTATAAACATTTGCCTCTAGTGGCGGCCAGATTAGTTATCAGGTAACATGCAGGTGCAAATCCAGGCACATGATATTCACATCATGAGCTTCTCAAAATAAATGCTAAATGCTACCCTCCCTAGCAACTAAAAGTGGTTTGTGTTTGCTCGTTATTTAAATCAAACTAACTTTAAATTAATCTCCCATGAAGACAATGATTAAAAAGTCTACCACAAGGAAACAGAATAAGTAAGTTAATGGACATAAATTAGAATAAAAAGTTTCACATTTAACTCTCACCGAACATAAGCTTTCCATTAATCCAAAACTTTTTTATGTCGTCAAAGTAATGTACTGCATACTGTTGGGTTGCATTTCTTCCCAACAGAAAAACCTGATAAATAAATAAAAAGTTTGGGCAGTTTCTCCGAGCGCAGAGGGTTTTCTCTCTTACCTTTCCCCTGTCACATTCAGGGCTCGGCCGTTTTTGTACGTCCCAAAGAGCTTTCCGCTGAACTGCATCTGCTGGCCTCACACACCCCTTTCCCTTTCTGTAGTGTGGCACAAGCTCCAATTTCCTTTTCTTCAGTCCAGCAGCACACAGAGAGGGAGGGTGCCTGCAGCTGGAGCCTGCGCCGCCTGTCTGCCTGTCTGCCTGTCTGCCTGTCTGCCTGTCTGCCTGCCTGCAGCTCTGTTTAACTACTTCTAACACAGCTTCATTTCTTTAACAAAAAAACAACTCAGCAGGGCTTATGGCTTCTGTAGAAAAGCTATGGATGTCAGCTCTGACTTTTGTTGTGACAGTTGAAGCAGAGCGACCAATCTGTTTTGAGCGGCTTATCTCCGTCTGATGTCGAGTGACGGCAGAAAAAGCGTCTGACCCTCGTTGGAAAGGGAGATGCTCCAGTTTATGTGCAAATAGATTAGTGCACTGAGACCACAGAGCCCCAGTGGCTGACCCCTGCTACCCTCCCTGTCCGTCCGTGTGTTTATCATGCACTCTCCCTGAGTGCCTGGCCTCTTTGAACCCTCTGGGCATAAACTCCAACCTGCAATGGATGGGATAGGAATTTCCTGTCCTGTAGTGAAGACAAAACTTGAAGCTCCGAGAGCCACGATATCAAATCGCCCACACCCACTTTCTCTCACCACATCCAAATTCACCACCTCCTCCCTCTGCTATCAGTCCCGTCCCCGTCAGCCTCCCCTCCGTGGAATAGAAAACTCCCACACAGCAGGGGGATTTTGAAGTCAGAGGGCTAACCCTGCATTTTGTGTATCAAAGGTCAGATTACCCTGTCGGATGTTATCTTTCATCAGGCCTGGCTGTAGGCTGAGTGGGATGACAGCAATGGCCCCAGTAGCTCTTGTGTGAAGCGGTATGGAAAGACAAGGATTAACAGAGGTCCTGAGATCTCCTGGACTGAATGTGACCTAAACTCCAGGTGAATCCCATTGCGGCGGGGTCCAGGGGGATAAGAGATGGACCCAGGGGTTAAAGCCAACCTTATAGTGTTTCTGTGTCAAAGGTCTGTGCAGAGGTGTAGCCAACGTTAAAGGGCCTTGCATTCGGTGAGCTGTATGAGGAAACCCAATGTAAATTAACGGCTACAATATTAGGTACACACAAGGTAACATGGATAGAGAACATTAATTTCTCTGATAGTTGGCAATGGAAGTGTTCTGACCATCCCAGGGGTAAAAAAAATGGTACAGTCCCATCCGCTTTATCATTCTTCCAAAATTGTTGATAACTCTGGAATTTGATCCCATTTGATAGTACGAATACGCCTAATCTAGTCTCTTCTGACTGAATGGCTATTGACACTAATTATGATTCAGCGTTTTCATTCCTAATTATTTTGACAACGTAATGTTTTTTTAATAGGGGCTCAAGCGGCTTAGACCGACATGGCTGTCAGTTACCATGCTGTATATTTTATTGATTACATTTCCGTTGCTGACGGGCTTGCATGGATTTTGACTGGACGGAAACAGATGTTTCTTGGAGAATTTTGCCATCTCCAGTTACACAGAAGGCGGACCCTTTTTTGTTTCTGACGTTTTGCCTTCTATCCCTTTCTTCCAAGCTTTTTTTTTTCCCCAACCAAACGCGCCACATTTAAAGAAACAGAGCCCCGATTGGGAAAAGACACTTCTACTCAAGTGAGGAGAGAAAGTACCAGGTGAACAAACACTCACTTGTTTTGCTTCGCATCTGTTCCACATTGTGTCCAGTCGTTTCATGTGTTGTGTTAGACTCCTCCACGGTGGTGGCTTGTGCTGCCTGGATAGGTTTAGTCAATCCTTCTGGACTACAGCTCACTCCTCTACGCAAAGACGTGTGTCCTTTCTCCATCTCCATTCTTACTCCAAGTTCAAATCACTCCTCTGCAGTCCTCTATGCAAGTCTTTTCATCCAAGTTGGATCAAAGCTCCCTGTTGAAGTTTTAGTCCTCACTGGTATACAGGGAGAAAAGCGAAAAACAAAACAAAATAAAAATGTGTCAAAGAATGTAGCACGGTTCTCCAGTTGACTAACGGTTGTGGTTGTGCATTCAGCACAAATCCTTCCACATGTTTTCTTGCAGTCGACTGAAAAATCTCAAAAAGAACTGTACTCTAGCTTTTGTCTTCAAGTCTAATTCTCTATCTAACTGGATCTCCCTGTAGGGCCTAGGCAACATTCCCCAAATGAGTTCCACTGGACGTCTGCCACAAAAAAAAAAAAATGCACCATTTTGGCATGGAGAGCCGAGAAACAGCCCAGTCTTCTCTAAATCTCCTTTTTTCTTTTCCCAGACGTTGCTCTTCCTCCGTCGCTATTTCAGTCACCAAAGCCTTCTCTCTGTCTTCATCCAAATCTCCAGCCCCCAGATTATTTTTCTTTCAGCGAAAAGATCTGCTCTTTATCTTGGCCATCATAACTACAGTATGAGATGAAAAGGGAGCTGCGCATATGGCAGTTTCCTGCTGTTGGGCGCATGTGAGGAATAACATTTCACTCTGCAAAGGTCATTCCAAAGATGGCTTTGCATTGAAGCTGTTCAATTATGTCTTTGTTCCTGTGTTACTTTTTTATATTACAGCCCAACAAAGTGTTTAGAACACACTGCTCTTTTTCCAGTACTAAAAAACAATTAAGGAAGAAGCCATCACCCCAATTTGAGTTACACTCTGCCCGGCAAATCTTTGGGTCTGTCTTCACCTTGTTTCTTCATATTTTTCCCCTCGTCAATGTTTTGTTTTGTTGAGCCTGTTTTGGCTCAGACTCAAAGTCTTGTTGAAAAGAATCTGGTGCTTAAGTGCAAAAAGGCAACTTTGTCTCATCCCTCCATGAAACCATGTCCTCTCCAAGGTAACCTGCAAAACAGAAAGAGATGTTTTATAAATCTAGCTGTTGAGTCGGAGAAGTATTAACTGATATCTGATGGAATTTTCAAGCAAAAATAATTGTCTTTAATTTGTCATGCTCTTTCAAAATTAATTACCTCAAGTTTATTTGTATAGCCCTTAATCATAAGAGTCCCCAAGAGCTTCGCAAACCCTCCGTCGACAAATACAAGTGTTGGCGTGATCATGAATAATCCTGGTCTTAAATTTATATACTCACCCTGACCAAATTGTGAGGTAATGTACCCTTAATCTGACTCTCCTTGAAGATTCTCAACACGGTCTTTGTTTTTGTTCATATGGTAACTCAATGTCACTTCATCATTGTTATGACTAAATGCCTTTCCAGTGATGCGTTTGTGATTTTGCATTTGCCCCGCAACCTTTGATGATAGCGATGAATTAATAAGGAAAGTCACTCAGCAATGTGTTAGCAGAGTCCTAACCTTGAAGACAGTCAAAACAAAACGGTGCCCGGCAACGAAAAAGCTCCACAATTTCGCATAGTGGCGTGATGGGGGCGAGTAAGACCAGATGAAGGCTGGTACTGTTTAGACTCTCTGACAACAACCCTTTGAGTTTCACAGATGTGTCATGGATCTGGATATCATTGGAAGACTGACATTATTTTCTTCATTCCCCAGCATTCTCAGGTCAATCTCGAGTCCATAATGGCCCTGGTATGGCATTGCTTCAAAGCTTTCTTGAGAAATCCACACCCGACTAATTGTACTGTATGTGCTTTTCATGCTTGACATCTGATGTCATCTTCCCTCCTTTCCCCCAATCTAGCCACCAATTACTTTGAACTTCAAAAGCCGCTCCACTGTGCCCACCTGTGCTGTTCACCCGCAACTCCATCGCTTCCCTGTGCCACTCATTCACCTCCGTGATTTAAAGTCGGGATATCATTTACAGTCTGGGCCCCTGGAGGCCACTTTAGTGTGTAATCACAGTGTTCCTGTTCATTGTCAGTGAATGATGCATCCACAGGTAGACATCCAGATAAACTGTTCTCAGTCTTCTAATGTGTACATATACCGGATGCATTAGTGGGCCGGTAATAGAAAGAATGTATGCAGAGTGATTCGCTGATATGCATGCTTTCAATATTGTGCTGGATGCATAAGAATTTAGATATGTGATCAGTGTAGTCTGAACTATTCTAAGCCTTGAAGGTGTATCATTTAACAAGTTCATGAGGAGGCATCTTTACACAATTGACACTCTCAGGTTCTGCCATGTGTCTGCTCGCTTTTATTTATACTGTATAAAAAATGGCTAAAATGCCGAAGGATTTTTTTTTTCACCTGACCCAGACAATTAAGCAATGCAATGCCTTCGTGAGAAGCTGAGCGATGATGTTTGGTTATACTCCAAAACTGTCATTCCTAGTTCATAAATCCTGGTCGGGAGAGGAGCGGGGAGAAGGGCATGATGGTTAACATGCCTCAGCTTGTGCTGCGTGATGACTGACATCGAAAACATGGCAGAGTTCCAACAAATCTCATGTATCTTGCCGAAACTATTATTTTATTTTCAGGAACTAATGGCTGGGGGGCAAGTTGGGGTTGTAATCCACCCAATGGTTTGCCACACATTGCACTCCCCTGTTCACAGGTGTGAAAGTTCAAGTGACAAAAATTAACATTTGAGGGAGGTGTGTGTGCTCCATTGCCAAGAGGGAGCCACCACGACCTGAAAACTTTTAAACATGAGAGGAGTCAAGCACTTTTTGAAAATAAGTATTATCAGTACTACAGGGATAATTGGAAACACATTTCAGAGATCTATAACATGAGTAGAGATACTCTAAGACTCTTATCATGTGATTTCTCCCAGCCAGTCAGCAGAGAAAGGTCATGACAATACTCGTATATTCCAATCAGTGCCATATAAATGTCTTGCAGTTCCCTATTGCAATTCATTGGGCACACCGTGCATAAAAGTCAGTACATAGTCCACATTTCCCCTAATGTAACATACCTTATCATCACGGATGATGATAACCGCAGAGCCACAGCGACGAGACAAAGAACCCTGCAAGTCCGCAATGAGGGCAATAACAGCAAACCCCAAGTGTTTGCCATCTCCTCCAAACTTTCCCTCCTTTGTTTCAATTAGCCGCCTGTCTGCTCTCTCTAAACAAAGACAGCAACTTACCCCCTGAAGATAAATAGAATGGCCTGCAGGTGACGGGCTCTGCAGCAGCAGTACTCATTGCTGTGTGGCGCGTGCTGGTCCACTCACTGAAGCTCACCTGTACTCTGCTGGGTCTGTCTGTGTGCGGCAGTAGTAGAGTGGACTGCCCCTTTTTCAGTTCCTAAATGACTCTGCACACACACACACCTCCCTCCCCTCTCCCTTCCTCATCTCACTCATGAAACAGACGATGGATGGGGCGGGGTGGAGGGTCAGCTGGAACACAGAGGGCTCTTTGTCTGGAATCTTTTTCATATGGTTTCCTTCAGGCTTGCATACTGAACACATTATGTTCTGATATATTTTCATATTCAACACGAGGATGCTGAGCAGTTTGTCGGGCCCACTCTTTTCTCCCGTCCCTCCTTCCCTGTTTTTAATTCTTGACCTACTTTCCCGCCAAGTGCGCCGGGCAGAGTGCTCCAAATAGAACTAAAATGGCAGGATAAATGTGAACAAAGTGTCTGGGGGGGAAAAAAATTGTTTTTCGTCCAAAAGAATACGCACAGAATGGGAAAAAGCTTACTTTCGTGGGATTCAATCAAGATTTCCACATTTTGTTGGAAACATGTGCAGTGATTATTGTACTCTTCATGACTCCAGCACTTAGATGCTTATCTTTCTCCCACAGTGAGGGAATGTCATATTCATTTTGTCAAAGAGCATTTCATGCACACTGACAAATACCTCGATTATGAAGTAGTATGTTAACAACCATTTCAAAGCGTGTGCATGGCTGGCGCCATATGATAGATAACGTAGTCAGTAACTGGTGCGTGAAATTTGGAGTCGGATTAGTTTATTTATCTTAACATTAACCCCAAAACAGGGCAACAGTAGGGATAATTCCAAACAGACGTGTTGAGTTGTCATGAAAAATACACACGCGCACGCACGTGTTTGTAGTTTACATTCTCAATAATCCGAACAATAACTGACAGATGTTAACAGTCCATTTTAACCTTAATCCACGGAATGAAAATCTCAAAGAATGAGTTGTGATTGATTGAAACACAAGCATTAGAACCAAGGTGAATAAGATTATCCTTGTGTGAAGGCCTTGTATTTGTTCATTAAATAGGACAACCAAATATATGTGGGTGTCATTGTTGGCTGACTAAGTGGCTTTAACACAATTCTGAAATGCACATTAAAAGCACTGCATACCCACTGACCCCCCACTTCCCTCTGAGAAACAAGCTCATCAATCAATTCAGAATTCGTTCAAATTAAATTTAATGAATCTTAGAAGCGGTCGGGCCGGTGGTCGACTGGATAGCATGTCGGCCTCACAGTGCAGATGCGCAGGGTTCCATTCTGGCTCCGGCCTTCCTATGTGAAGTTTGCATGTTCTCCCCGTGACTGCGTGGGTTTTCTCTGGGTACTCCGGTTTCCTCCCACATTCCCAAAACATGCGTGGCAGGTTGATGGAACACTCTAAATTGTCCCTAGGTGTGAGTATGAGCGTGGATGGTTGTTTGTGTTTATGTGTGCCCTGCGATTGGCTGTTAACCAATTCAGGGTGTCCCCCGCCTTCTGCCCGATGACAGCTGGCATAGGCTCCAGCACGCCTCGCGACCCTTGTGTGGATAAGCAGATCAGGGAATGGATTGATGGATGGATGAATCTTAGAAGTATCTCATTACACTGTCAGAGGTGTCAATTTTAATATCACACAGAGACAACCCAAGGAAATACAAAATGCAGTTTCTAAATGCCAATTTAATTTATTCAGGCACAACAAATTCTAAAACTACCTTTTCCTATGTGAAAAAGAATCCCCCCCTCCCCTTGTTAAATCACAAAGTAACTGTGACTAACAACAGTTCTGGGAAAGCTGAGTTCAATGTCACAGGCAACACCCTAGCACCACATTTGTTGAGTCAAGAAATCACATCAATAGAATCTGTCAGACAAAGTGAAGTAGGCTACAAGAGCTCAAGAAACAATCGCATCATGCCACGATCCGAAGAAATGCAAGAAGAAATTCCAAAAAAAAGTTATTGAAATCTATCAGTCTGGAAAAGGTTACAAAGCCACTTCCAAGAGTCCGGGGATTCAGCAAACCACTGTAAGAGCGATTATCCACAAATGGAGGAAACCAGAAACAGTGGCAAACATTCCCACGAGTGGTCGATCAGTTAAAATTACATCAAGAGAAGCAATTCTGCAAAGAAGAGTGGGCCAAAATTCTTCCACAGCAATGTGAAAGACTCATCACCAATTACAGAAAACACTTGATTTCAGTTATTGCTGCCAAGGCTGGCACAACCCATTATTGAGTTCATGGGGCAATTACTTTTTCACATAGGGACAGGTAGTTTTAGATTTTTTGTGTGTCAAAATTAATTAAATTGGCTTCGACAAACTGCATTTTGTATTTCCTTGGGTTGTCTCTGGATGATATTAGAAGTGGTTTGATGAACTGAAATCTTTGAGTGGAATAAATATGCAAAAAACACAGAAATCAGAAAGGGGGCACTTTTTCATGGCACTGTAGATGTGTGAAAATATATGCTGCCACTAATTTCCATGCCCTCTGATTTTGGTTTTTTTTTTTTTTTGAGGCTTTACCACAGTGTGACAACAAGGCACTTGAAAGCAGCCACACCAGCCCATAACCCCGCTTCCACCTTCTTTCTGTGACATGCTCTCAATTCTCGACACACTTTAACGCAGCCACACAGGCCCAAAGCGTCCGCATGCTCGCTGTCAAGTTGGAATTTCAAAATAGGGTTAGGATTTCAAGTAAGGTTAGCGTTTCAAAGTAGGGTTTCAAAGTAGAGTTTCAAAATAGGTTAATTTGTAACAGTGGTTAAGGTTAAGGTTATGGATGATTGATGCAACCATCAAGATATGTGACCGCAGGCTTCAAAGTAGGGTATGGGTTAAAAAAAAAAAAATCTAATCTCCTCGCTATTCCACCTTCCTCTACTTGGTATTCACACAATTAGGCCTATAAAGTGGCAGTGGCAGCGGACTTTCCTTAGGGAATATGCATTTCCAGGGTCAATGCGCAGCTAACTAGCTAAATGAGCATCACAATTGTGTCAGATAACTGGCTGCTGATGCGAACAAAGGCGCTTGAGTTCTTGTACAGTTTTAGCCACGCCCCCCCAAAAAAAAGAAAAATCTGGAAAACTGAAATGGTGAAAAAACATTTCACGCTATTTCTCCACAACTGAGTACTACATAGTTGTCAGTCTTTGCACGTTTCCAGCAATTATTTTCAAACGTGTAACACATATTTAGAAAAGATTTGAATTCACTATATAGGATCTTTAAATGTGTTGGAAGAAATATACAAAACATTTTCATAGTACTAACAACCCAGTTGGGCAAAACAGAATGACCACGCAACAAAAATTACTTTGACATCTCTGTAGTGAGCATCGATTCATACATGATGACCCTGACTGAGCACTCCCTTGATTGACCACGTAACTCAAACCGCATCATCGGCTGATGTAATAAACCTTTGCAGTGATGTTGTGAATCGATACATAGATGGATGGTACAGTAAACTTGGAACATTACGATGGAGTTTAAGCTTATGACATGGATCCATGGCGGATCTGGAGGCTTGCAGCAGAAATTAAATCACATGATGGAAAGTAACATTTTGAGATTCGGCAAGCTTCAGCAGAAATTCTTAATTACCCCCCAGCTTTTGGATAAGCTAACTTTAAAGTGTATTTCTTCTGGCTGCGGTTTACCGCTCTATTAAACTGAAGGTCGCACAAGCTTTAGAAAAATACTTAATTTTATTCCCCCCCCGCCCCATACCTCCCAAAAATACGGGATATTCGCTTTTAAGGTGAAAGTGGAAGGATGGGTGAATCTGAAGGTTTACGTCGGAGTTAATTGTTTCTTGAAGGCTTGATAAGGAATGTCTAATTACCCTCCAACTATTGGTTAAGCCAATTTTAAAGTGGATTTCATCTTGGTACGATTCACCATTCCATCAAATAGAAGGTCACACAAAGTTTAGAGACAGGCTTCAATAGAAACAGCCTGATTTTGGATCAATTGCTTTGCTTCACAGTGAAAATGAATGCATGGATGAAACCTTTACTCCCCCACGGTGCCACTTTGTTAAAACAGAAATGAAAAAAATGGTGCCTCATCAGCCCTATGGCATCATGATCCTATCAGCAAGTTGATGTGTGCGTAGGCCAACTGCTAAGTGTGTGGCAGGCAGTTGTCGACTGTATTTTTTTTTTCTTCAATGGTACATTTCATTTGCTTTAAACCGTGTCGCTTGTTGTGCAGTGGGGATTGACTTCAAACATGCGTTGAGCACGCACGTTTTTTTAAGAAGGAATGGAGGAAGGCCTATCACGCCAGATGTTTGCTGTATAAAAGCCAACTCTTATTTTCTCATATCAATTTTGAGATTGTGAGGTCTGCTTTGGCTACACAGAGCACGTGGCCGTCATTGTTGGTCATACCATCCACAGTCATGAAATAAAATGCACAAGCACACACATACAGAAAACTGCCCAACACACTCATAATATAAGCAGTAAAAATTATTTGTTTAAAAAAATAAAATAAAAAAGCAAAGCTTTTCTGAGATTAATTTACTAGATAATGTATTTTCCTTTGCTGTTGCTTTACATTTGTGTATTAAAAAAATCATGGTCTGCCTCTTTCTCACGCACTGACATGCTAGTTAACAGCCAATCAGAGTGATCAATTGTCACCGACGACTGACACCATTTTGCAAACTGATCGAAGGCTCATTCATTGAAATCATATCTAGGAAGCAAATAGACAAGACCACGTCTTCATTCTTCACAATTCAAATTCTTTTTACTTGGATTCATTCCTGCACGCACGCATGCACAACTTTTAACAACGATCAATTGGGTTTTTTTTGGGGTTTTTTTGTGGCATTTTTGACGACTTGCCAGTTGATCTACAATTGCACTACCGGCAGAAAGTTACCCTGTGTGGAGGAATCGACTCATGAACGCTGCTCAAGGCTCATTTTTTTGGTCGAGAAGGCCTGTCCAAATGTGTCTTATTCCAACATTGTTGACGACATGCTCTGTGACACAGCGCCACATGAAAGCTTACAAATCACTGGAGGCTTACAACTA